GGATCCCTTCAAGGTCTGAAATTTAAAGGATTGAAATGCTGTTTACACATTTCCAAGACCTTTTGGAAACCACATGTATTTTTGTTTGTTAAATTATTTATTTATTTCTTAAGATATGCAGATTAGGTTTATTGGGTGTTTTACTTTACCATATAAATCTATTGGTTACATTTTTAGTTGTGTCTGTGCTCTGATGTGACTTTCCCAGGGTCTGTCCACCTCATGGAATGGAAATGGCCTTACCATCCATTAGAGCCAAACACCACAAAAAAGAAAGTTTCATGTTATACTTGTCTGTTTTGGACCAATGAAATTAATGAGTTCGTAATTCTGTTTTAGTTGGATGGATCTTAAAACTTACTGACAAAAATCACGTGCACATATAACGACGCATGAGGAAATATTCACATTTTCAATAGAGCTAGAGCCTAAACCATATTCATTGATAAACATACAAGTGGAGCTTTTATTTTTACTTTCAAACAGTCAAAAAATAATTTTCTTTCAAAATTACAAATCGGACTCGCTAGAGGATTTAAGGTTTCATTAGACGCTGTGGTAATTGGTATGTTTAACTCTCTGGCACATGGGCATACAGATGTCATAATGACCTTTTGACGGCGTCAGTTGGTCTGAGAGGTAAATTACGAGATGTTCAATGACTTGGAAGGATCATTGCATCTTCTTGGAACAGAGCAGAAACTGGTAGACCACCCAGACTCAAGCGTTGGTCCCTATCCAATTTCAAATGTTGTCTAGGCTGACATGAGCCAGATCTTAGGTTCTCCACTTTTCAGCAGCATGTCTTTAGGCCAATTCACGCTTCTGAAGCCTCTGCAACGTCCAATGTGTCTCAGTGTGCGACCACGCCCCCCCACGCAGATGTTCTGCAACCGTTGTCGTACACCTCAAAAACATCCTGATTACGCATCGGACGGTCGCAAACCCGCGCAGACAAAAAGCTGCCATGATTGGTCCTTGGTATGCCTTTCCGGCTGTCAGTGTGGTCGTCCTTCTCGATTCGGTGCCAGGGTGCGCCATTTTTAAAAACCAAGGAACAACTACAATGGATAACCTACACGTCCTCCTTTGTCTTTTTGCCAACTCCATTAACAGAACCTGTTCCTCTTCGATGTCTAGAAACTCTAGATCCATCTCTGTGACCGTCAAACCTTGCAGACGCGTCATTATTGTTTTGGAAGATAAACTCTCCCACCGGCATCCGCAGAAGTTCTTGTGAGTTGTCAAATAGGCTCCCCCTTGCACTTTGGCGGGAAACTTCTGTGCGTCCATAGAAATTCCAGACCAAAGTTGCAGAAGCATACCATCAAAACTGGTTCACGACCAGAACCAAGCGACATTTGATGTGTGCGGTTGCAGAAGTATAATCTGCCCTTTAGTGTACATGTACGCTGTATGTATCCGACCAGTGTTTATTTCTCCATCATGAGAGAGGAAGGTCAATTTTATCAATGTTTTTGAGAAACAGACAGGTGGGTCCTGTTGATCCAAAGTAATAGTGGTATTGGCAACCCAAATTTCTTTACCCTACTTAAGGTACATTCACACTGAAAGTGGTGCATAGTCCAGGTGGTTCGCCTGCCGTTGGTTAATTATATTCTGCCTCTGTATCGCTTCCAGTTTGCCCAGACCCCCAGGTGGAGTGCTTCCCAGTTCGCTCCACCCCATCTTGTCTGCTCACCTGACTTTGGCGGATATGTTTCCAAAGCTGAACAAGCATCAGGGCCAATATTCCTGGGCCCACCAGATAGCTAGTGTCAGGATGGATCGATTGGATCATACGGTTAGTTTTTGGCTAAGAAAGTTTGATCTCGGCATCCCTCATCTACCCTGCATATCATCCACATACAGTTGGATATTTTAACATGACCTGAACTGACAAAACATTGCAGATTCTCCAACTACTGATCTCCTTTTATGGGTCATTTGCATTGCTTGAATTGCTTAGTCAATCTTGAAAGCAAATTTTCTAAAGCATAATAGGAAAATCACCTGATCACTCCATGTGAACGTACCTTAAGACACCACCCACCTGTGTTGTGTAGAATGGATCCAGTTTGCTGGTTCATAACGAAAGATTTTGGTCATCCTTATAGGAAATGAGAAAGCACTGCACCGAATCTGAGTTGTTTGGAACCTCAAATGGATGTCAAACCCTTTGTTCATAACACCATCTGTTTAGTCGTACTGCAAACTTTCTTATCCAATGGACCTAATATTGTAGTTCTTCTAATACAGGATCATGATCTACGGCAGATGCTATCCAATTGGTTTTCCAGAACTTTTTTCAAAGAGTAAATATTTCAAAACAATATTCCTGTTAGATAAAGTAGCAGATAATTGAGCAATGTCATACTTAACTATTTATTGTAAAAATATTATCTAGGAGGTAATACAAGCCTACTTGAACTTGACATCGGCAAGCCTTGACATTTATCCATGGACAAACAACACAGTAGGTTCTCTTAAATACTGAGTAGAGTGTTTTACAAAATTTACAGAAAATGATCAAAACTATCTGAAATAATTAAGACAATTACTTTTTCCTCCACTACAGCTTGTAGAATACCTAAATATAAAGCTCAGCAATAAGAACCCCACTGCAAAAACAATGGATCCAAAATGCCAGCGCTGCCAGTATACATGACGAGCTGTGAAGCTGTTCTAAAGTTTTCCCTTTACGCTAGCTAAGGTATCATTAGCGATTATTCTATAGCATTTTTAGCATAACTACAGTTCCAATTCATTTCAACTTTAGCATGCAAAACTTTTTTCTATGTTTTCCAACAGCCCTACAGTAATAATTTAACTGTCCGTTTAAAAGCATCAGATGTACAGTGCCTAACATTACCACAGTTTGTCACACTATCTGAGAGACCAACACAAGGTAGCGTGTTTTATGGGGGAAATTTTGTTTCGTTATTTATTGCTGGAAGCAAAGAACATGTTTTGTGAATGGAAATTTGTGAAAAAAAAAAATTTTTATTAAAAAAAACGTTTGTATTTTGACAACTATCATTAAGAATTGTATTATATTACATTTATAAATATATACATACTTTTTTATCTTCTCAGTGTTATTTTATTTTTTTAATTTATTTACTTTTTTACTTCTGTGGACAGTCTTTCCTGTGGAGTTAGGAGCGAGGATGCTTTTTTATTAGTCTGCATTAAAGTTAAATTGGTCAAGAGCGTTCATTTAGACTGAGCTTGATGTGAACAGAATGTGATCTCTGAAACGTAATTTGAAAGAAATGCAATTTGTAAAACTATCTGTACAACAAAATAAAAAAAAAGAATAAAGCATACATTATGTCAAACTTTGAAAAATAAATAAAAAAAGGTGCGAAAACCCTCGATACTATTTTTTTTTTTCGTTTAAAATGTTTTTTGAAGCTTTATTTCTACAACTGATGTATATATGTATAATTTTTCTTTTTTTTTTAATTTCCACTCATAAAATGTGTTTGATTTTCTTTTTTTTTTTCCTTTCTTTTTTTTTTTGCTTCCAACAATAATGTAACGAAATTAACTCCATAATAATTGAACACTCAACAAAAAAAAATGTATAGTTTTATAAATGTTAAAGTATAAACTGTCTGTGATGTGAGGGACTGTAGCAGGGAACAGTGCATCAGCAAGGACATGAAGAAAGGATATATTTTAATGAAGGGAAAGAAAAAAGGAACTTAAATCCAACTCTGATATACACAGATTTATCGTTTGGATGACTGTTTTCCAGAGAACATTAGAGAAAAAACAACATAAAGACCAGGAAGGAGAGAAATTCGCCACGAACAGAGACATTTTAAGAGAAGCTCATCTTAATATTAATAACTTTATAACACTATAACCTACAGTCATGTTTCATGTCATGGAAATGACACTTTAAGCCCGTAAGGCATAGAAAGAGAGCTTGTCATGAAGATTTTTGTCGTTTAATATTTTTGTGATTTTGCGCACCTTCATTTTCTGATTTTTTTATCCTAAATGTTATTTTTGTGAAAGTAACTACAAAAGTAATCAGTAACTAATTACACAGAAGTTGATATTTTCTAAAGAAACATTTTATAAAGGTAGCCTGTGATATGAAATACATCACATTTCTAAAATAACTTGCCTAACTCTGCTTAACATTATTTAATGAGGATCAGACCATTTTAGGTTGTTTTTGTGCAGATATATAACATAACTTTAAACACCTTTAAACATTTCAGACGGACTGAATACAAAAGCAGGGAACTCTATCTATGCCATCTTGTCCTTGCAGAAATATCAAACATTTGCTTCTCATTTAGAGAAACCAGTAGTACCAACCACAATTATGCACTACTTTGTGTTGGTCTATCACATAAAATCCTTAAAAACCTTTACATTTGTAAGTAAAACAAAATACTTTAGGACTGTTAATCGTTCTAAAAATTCGTAAAGTACCTTTTAAAAAGCTGACGACTCCACATAAAGGTATTAAGTAGAGAGATCCGTTATTTCCTAATTAAGGATTGATGTGGTTTGTCTTTAATTACCATAAACACAGTGAATGTAGCTCAGCTCCGTCGCATTCACAGCTGCATAAGTAAACGTCGTTCTCTATGGCTCATAAGATTATTTTTTAGCTTCACAGATCATGGAAATGTTTTACTACACCTTGGAAAGAGGTGAACGGCGTTGGCATGTTTCCCATCAGCACACGACCAGCAGCTTTATCATCACAATGAGTTCACGTAAACTGTTCAAAGTTATCTCTGAAAGAGGAGAAAAACTGTCCAAAATGTGGAATGTTGTGAGAGCTACAAAATCTGTAAACATAAATACATAAAGTAGGAAAAATTACAGATCAGACAGCCCTAATTTTAAGCCATGATGTCTGTCAGTGTTCATGATGGTTTAGTGTTTCCTATAGAACCTGATCGATCACTTATTCAACCTATTATTGTAATTATTGCTTTTCTACGCTATGAAGCTCATACGCCTCGGGTGAACAGTCGTGTGAGTTGGAACGGAGCTCTCACGCAGCCGTTTGTTCATGATCGGCGCGCCGAGGCCAGCGAGGACGGTTTAACCCACGCACTGCTGCGTCACACACACCAGGGCACAAACAATACAGGAAACACGCAGGAAAATGGCCGAGTCCCTTCAGTTAAGCCCCTGTTTGAGCTGAATCCCACCACTTGGCGCGGCCCATGTCACACCGCTGTGTGTTTTGAGTTTGCGTTCTCTTTCCTGGGCAACGAGGAAATCTTCTCGCTGAACTGGCTGAAGCTGGCAGCCCTGCATCTCGCCCTGGGTCCGTCCGGAGCCGTGGGGCCCGACGGTAGAGTACTGTATCTGCCCAGAATGGGGAAGGCCTGCCCTGCGCTGGGGGATTGGCTTTTGGGGTGGAGGGTGGCGTCCTTGACGAAGAGGCTCTGGATGAGCTGGAATTTCTCCTTCTCCTCTTGCAGAAACAGGTTGACCAGGAGCTTCTTCTCCCGCTTGAGCTGCTCCACGATGGTTTTGGGAACGTCCGGGATCACCCAGGCGACGATGAGGCTCAGGAACATCACCAAGTTCTAAAGGGAAGAAAGGAAGCGAGATAATTCAGACACTGACTTCAAATACATGCTGAACTTTCTCTTTTTTCAGCCTTTTTTCCTTTAAATAGCCAGGGAAAGCTTCTGATGGTTAATTTACAACCTTTGATTACAGTGGACATCCATAAAAATTACTTTCTACAAATGTGGGATTAATAAATTTACTTTTTTCATTCTATATTTTCTGCTCAAACTAAACCTGAAGAATGTAACCATAAAGTCAAAAAAGTTTGCTGCCTGGAGAACATCGTCCCAACTGTGAAGCACAGAGGAGGCAGAATAATGATGTGTGGTTGTTGCAGCAAATAGGACTGGTGCATTTAAAGTTAGAATATTGCAGTTTACAAAAAAATTAACATGTTATATTATTTAATTTGTGTAGTTCATTTGTGTTTCCTGTTTGGAATTATAGATTAAATTATATGGAGTGAACTTTGTTCCATTATTATTGCAAGCAAAGAACATATTTTATAAATTGAATTTTGAAAAAAATGCAATCCAGAAATAAAAAACAAAAAATCAAATCAAATCAAAAAATAGTTTAAGGGGAAACAGAGCCTTTTTTGTTTTTAAACTTAGGAGCAATTTAACTTTGCTTTTAGATTGACTTTCATCAATTGCATTATTTTCAAACTGTGTTTCACAGATCATATTCCCCTTTTTTTAAGCCCAATACAAATGCTTACTCTGGACCAATTAAAATATGCAATTTGTAAAACTCAATCAGGACAAAAAACACTGAAAATGTAAAAAAAAAAAAAAAAAAAATGTGATCTTGAAAAACAATTAGAAAACATTTTAAAAAAAACAGATTCAATCAAATACATTTTGAGAAATCGAAAAAATTATTCTTAAAGCCAACTTTGGAACAGAAGACTGAAAAGAAAACATTAGCTGAACAAGCCATACCTGAAACAAAATGACGAAGGCCAGTCTCGCAGATAGGACACACCAGTACTGCTTGGAGAACTGGTAGGCATCTGAGGACCAGGGAGGTTCTCTGTAATCCTTGTAACTAAAAGAGAAACACAAGCATGATATGTGACGTGTGAAAGCAGTTTTACATGTAGCTTTGTAGGCCTGATGCAAAATATCAGTTAGCTTTAGTGCAAATGACCTTCAAAACTTAAAAAAAAAACATGTTTCTTATATTATTTCCCTTCCATGTGCTGAATATATGTCAGTGAACTCATCACAATCATGGTTCCTAAGCAAAGTTTTAGGTGATTCTTGTTGTGCCATATGCCATGATCATGGTTTTTGAACATGGTCTGCTCTGGTCATCTTGACATGATGACCAGAGAAAAGAACGCAGCTTTTTGAGTCAATGATTCACAGGCAAGTCACAGAAGTGTGACCAACCAGCCCCCTCTTTGTGAGGACAGTAAAAACCACACAACACAAAGGGACCCAGGCCCAAAAAGACCAAGATCTCTAGAATTATCAACGATAAGTCATCATGGTGACCTTTTCAGTCCCAAACTGCTGCAAAACAGACTGTTGCAACACATTTCTCTTGAGTTGCAGAATTTACAGAGCCAGACTGGATGAGAAGGCCTCCTAAGGATCCCTGGTGTGAGCCCAAATGGACAAAGAAACCCCTTTCTGTGCTAAGCTACTCCTGGATGAATCTCAACCTTCCAAATGGACATGGAAAAAAAGGTTTGCAGGTCTGGCACAATTAGGGACAGAACAAACACTATGGGCCGGATCTATCAAAGGTTTGCGTGTATAAAAACGTGAGCTATTTCACTGCGCACGCTAAAAAATGTACAAACTGATCTATCAACAGCGTGCTAAAAGGATTTGGTCTTTAAAACATGCTAAATAGCGCCTCTTATCCATTTAGTACTTTTTCTGCAATGAATATGCAATATGAGGCGTTTACACGCAAAAGTGCGTCTTGTGGGAGGAGAACATGTAAATATATTAATTTAGCACTCGCAAAGTGATTTATCAAACCTGAAAGCAATTTTGCTCACGGTATCTGACTCTATATTTAACACGTTTCAAAAGAAGGTGCAAATGGTCTGTATGCGTAATTGCGCACACATGACAGCGGTTATTGTTGCAAGAAGGAGACATTGAAATGAAGCAAGGAGACGCAGATAACGCATTTTTTTCACTCCGTGTGAATATTTTTGGAATGACTGAGGAAACGATCATCAAAACATATCGTCTATCCAGCATTTCCATTCTGGAGCTGTTGGGGGAACTCCGAATGGATTTGGAGCCAGCCACAAGGAGGACCCACGCAATACCAGATATCACAAAACTCCTTGCAACATTGCATTTTTTTGCATCTGGGTCATTCCAGTGTACGGTTGCAGCGAGAGCTGGGATCTCCCAATCTCGTTTTTCAGAAGTGCTGTCCGACGTTCTAAATGCCATGTCGCCCTGACGCCCTAACGGAGAACCCCGACCTCCCCCCTGCACCTGTGGAGCAACATGCCAATGATGCGGGGATGCGCAGTACTCTCATCCACAGTCACCTCCTGTGTGCCATTTGGTATATGCATTTTTCTACAGGCCAATACAAAACACTAGTTTTTTTTTTTTTTTTTACTGCAGTGAAGTAGAAATTCAGCCACATACCACCTTAGGGAATAAGGGTCGCCAAAGTTTTATATATATATATATATATATATATATATATATATTAGTGCTGTCAATCGATTAAATTTTTTTAATCGCGATTAATCGCATCAATGCCTGAGTTAACTCGCGATTAATCGCATTTTAATCGCTAATTTTTTTTCTGATTGAAAATCATTTAAATACTCTCGATGACATACAAAAAATACATACAGGCTAGGTTTGTGGCAATGTTCTTTTTTTAAAATGAAAACAGGTCACAGACACTGATTTATGCCATAGAAACATATGGCAAGAAGATGGGGAGCCATGTAGCAAAAAATAACAAATATGTAGCCAAAAAAAAGGCCCTGAAAACAGGCTGATGTAAAAGACAGTCTTTACAGTTAATACAGTCTTTTGAACAAAGACAAGCATTTTACCCTACTGCTATAAAATGCAGTAGAGTTAACATTAGATGTTAATTAACCAAGATAATAATGAACAATTTTCAATCAATACATCAAAATAGTCTATGCTCTAGAAAGTTACTTTTCAGCCTCTTAACAAAAATGAGAACACACACACCCACTCACCCACACACAGACACACCCACCCACACACGATACCGACCTGTGACGTACACAGACAGCAAGAGCACCGTAGCAGATTCCATTTCACCTCAGTACGGTAATCTGTTTTCTCAGCGTATTTCAGGTTGCTACTAGTTACCAGACACTCAACTTCTTTGTTGGTGGTGGGGCTTAAAGAAAAGGCACTAGCGTCACCCAGTGTATGAGCGTCTTTTTTCCTTGAGGAGCTCCGCTCTCGAAGCCTATGAGAAATGCATAGACTGGGGGAAAATAGCCCCGCCTTCCCGCAGGCTGCAGCGGGATGTACTTGGAAAATTGTACCATAAAACCACATAGCGTTAATCTCACGTTAAAAAAATTATCGCCGTTAAAATGGCCTCGCGTTAACGCGATAATAACACGATAATTTTGACAGCACTAATATATATATATATATATATATATATATATATATATATATATATATATATATATATATATATATATATATATATAGATAGATATATTAATATTTTCTTTTTGGAGGGGGTGGGGGTGTCACTGTAAGATTTAAATTTCTTAATGCACTAGTTACAAACTACAAACTACTTTGCCGCAAACCACAAAACGCGCAAAACCATCATTTAAATAGGGCGTCTCCAACAGTTTTGCACCTGCCACCAGTTACACATTCGCTGTTGTTAAATCACCCGCAAACCATGGTTCAGCCCCTCGCGCAAAATTCCAGTTTGCGAGCGCAAATTACTGCACGCAAAATTGGATCTTGATAAATCCGGCCCTATGTCTTATGATGATGTTGATCATTTCATGTGTTTACTGATGTGTAAAGACAAAGCTAACAGGATTTACTGCATGCTATACTATGCTACAGTAACATGTTTTGAGCTGTTGCTGAAGCACTGATATAACATTAGTGTTCATATGTTCCTCAGATGCTCATTACATTTCGATTACCAAGTATGACCAAGAGTCATTTAGTGGAATCCTGATGTCTATTCGATGCTAGCTATTTCAAAAGGGTAAATAATCCTGTAGGTAAGGGTTACTGGTTCCTGAGTAAGCAAATCACTTATTAAAACATTATTTGGCCAAAAATGTCAATCCTCGTGGATTGAGGTCTCAAAACATTCAAAGTTCTCTAAATTAGTAAAAGACTGATTTGATCACATCCCAAATTCTTTCAGATAAACTTTGGTTTTCAAACACAGATCCATCTTAAACTGTAATATGGTTTGCAGCCATGTTTCCCCTTCTTCTTTGTACATAGTAGTTTAGTTTAATTGAGCTTCACTAGTTTTAGTTAAGAGTTTAAACTGAAATATGTTTGACTTGGAGCTGAATGATTTTTGCTAATAAACTCTTATATTTTGAACAGAAGTTGTGGTGAATTTATTCCATGTATGTGCAGAGTTAACTGTTTGACCATGATTAGTGCTCGAATCACTCTTTCATTTATTATTTTAACACACAGCTAGTAGGGCATATGTTCATAAACAATACATAACAGCTGAAATAATATCTGATTAAATAAGATATTTACCACCCCGACCGGGGAGGGCAATGACTATCTTAAAGTATCAGAAATATAAATTCCCAGCTGGCTGGGAATTGAATATAACAGTTATTCACAACATAAATATGGCATCAAACCTGGATTGGCATTTAATATAAATCCACAACATTCTGAAAAGTAGAATGGTGGGCAGATCTTTTAGTTAGCAGGCTCCTCTCCTGTGGAACCAACTACCAGTTATAGCCTGTGAAGCAAACACTTTTAAGAACAGGCTTAAACATTTTTGTTTTGATAAAGCTTATAGTTAGAGTGAATCAAGTTATCCTGAGCTATCTCTATAGTTATACCACTATATGCTAAGACTGCTGGAGGACATGGGGACCACTTTTCTTCTCTCCCTTTCATTCTACTTTTATTCTCCGATTCCCAAAATGAGACACAGCAGCATGAAATATGGAGACTGAAAACTATTTTACTCGATACTCTGTGGACATGCCACTAGGGCCTGATGGAAAATGTTAGTTAGCATTAGCGTAAACTAGCTTAACAACTTTAAAAGGAAAGATTGTAAATACATGACTTTCATGATTACTTTTGCTTCCTGGTAATAAATGTATGTCAGTGCATCGCAGCTCTCATCACAATTATGGTTTATAAGCAAATTCATAAACGCAATATTTCTCAGAAATGAAGCAGAACTTTGAAGCAAACATTTGTTGATGTCAATAAATCCTGCTTATGACAGCCAAATGTACATTTACATTTATAACATGAAAAAAGGAAACATTATTGTTTTCCTTTTCCTTAGTAAAGAAGATCAGTGATTTAGGGACAGAAACACAATGGGGCTATTGTTTGGAAACCCCCATTTGGTTTGAATTTTTTTTAAGCTGGACTAGACAGATGTTAATTAAAACAGTGCTCTCTGTCTTTTTGCTTCAGAGTCAAGGTGCAGTGGATGTTATTCAAGTTATTTTGTTTGCTTGCTTTGCCATAAATTATCTCTGCAGTGCAGGCAAAATAAACTGCAGATGACCTGAAACGCATGATGAGCAAAGAGCCAACATGCTCAGACGGAAAGAGAAGAAGACCTAGAAGGTGGGATGGAGAGAAAGATTATGTGAATTAGACAATGGAACATAGATTGAAGCATTTCAGGTTTAAGACAAAGGCAAATTTTATATGGCTACAACTTGAATTAAGTATTTTCAGTCATTTTAAATAATGATAGCTGCGGAATTTACATAGTTTTAAACAAAGCTAACTATATACTTTCCTAACTGATGCAACGGTCTGCATGTGTTCAGCTTAGAACATTTTTCTACATTTTCAGGC